TTATCCTTCCGATATTATTAATAACGAGGCGAGGATGGAATAGAGAGTGGTTTCCACTGCCATCACGATCGGCTGTTTAGAAAGCACTTTCCCTCCCAGAGGTCGCCCATTGTCCATGTGCCACAGAGATCGGCGGGGCCTTTGTGTTCGTCTGGAGTCGTCCTCCATTGTGTCGTCCTGCGGAGAACGATAATTTAGTTATTATCGTCGCTAAAGTAATTTATAATAATTAATGTCTTTTGTTGTTTTATTTTATTAACTGATCTTTTCCAAAAGCCATAGGTGGGTACCTTTTTAGTCGTTAGAGGTCGTATTTAAATTAGGCAGTTATTGAGTCCGCATTTTTTTTCGGAAATTAAATGTTTGTATTTTTAATTATTTATATAGTGTCCCAGCTCATAATAGTCAAACTCTTGGAGGTGATTTTATGCAAAATTTCCAACAAAAATTTCATTTAATCGACCAATTTCTATCGGAAAAGGATTTAAGACCAATTTTGTTATTTCTTAAGGTGGCCACGTTTTCTCTTTTTTATGAAGCGATAACACAAACACTATTTAATTCAGGGATTTAAAAATTGATTTGTAGTGTTCTAGACAAAATTTCTTTCAAATACTTTTTTTTTTTATTTATTTATTTATATGATATTTACAACTGTATACAAACAATACATCTGGTAAATTCGCACATGGATATAATGACATGGAACACATGTTGAGAAACTACCCATTGGTAGCACTCTAATTCTTTCAAATACAAGTAGAGTTATGAAAAACCATTTAAAAGGAGAGTTTTGAGCGGCGAAACTGCACTAAGTTGTGTTTTTCATTAAATCTTGGATTATTCGCTTTCATAGAAACTTCATTGTTTAATAAGCTTTATTTTCATATTATTAATTTGAGGTTTGTTTAAGAATAAAGTTGAGATTCAGTTTGAAAAAATAAAAATCGAGAAATTATTATAAAGTTTTAATTCCTTCTTTTTCCTGTGACCTTACATCCATATTAGTATTAATTAATACAATAAAATAAATAGCATTAATTATGAAAATACAATTTTTATTCATTAAAAAAAATATGCGGATAATTTTTGTGTTGTTGCTTCCGATGAAGGAGAAAATTAAATCACCTTAACAAAAGACAACCGGTCATACATCAAGTGATATTTTTTATAGGAAATTTTGTCAATAATTACCTCCCATAAATATATATATATATATATATATATATATATATATATATATACTTTAACGATTTATTTGCACTTGTCAACTTTATGTCGACAATCACTAAATGTGCTGAAAATACAAGAACTAATCATACATTAAGCATGCGGAAAGAAAGTACTCAGCAGTACCTCTTCCCTGATTTATTTCAATTACTTAGGTTGTTTAAGGAAGGAGATCTCTCATCCAACGCCTTTTTAATCTCCTCCTCATATTCAGGTTATGTAAGTTGTTACTATTATTGAACGATTGCTATGTCCGTTTAAATTGGTATAAAATCATTGGTAATTAGCCTTATATGTCGGTAAAGCGTTGGAAAATAGAAGTCAGTATGTAGAGTTTCTTTAATCACGTACCAAGGTACTTTTGTTATGAGTCGCAATAATTTTGATTGGAAGGTTTGAAGTTTTTCTAGGTGGGTCTTCTTAGCGATAATGTATATTTGTAATCATTATTTTCATGAGTACTTTTTAATTCTATTTAACCATTAAATATCTATCATTTTTCACACTCATACATTTGAAGTAAATGCGATATTAGGGTAATATATTTATTTCTAACTAAAATAAAATATTTCAATATTTGCAATCTTGTCCAAAGGAGAGGAGAATTTATATGAAAAAAAAATTGAAGGAATAATTTTAGTCATATTCAATAACTGGACTGAAGGACGAAGCTACAACAATGACAATATTTTAATTTCTGGATGAGAAATTTCATTATTTTATTTTTTGTTTCTACATTGTAATCCGATAATTTATGAAATTCAAACAAAGGGAAATGTTTTTAAACAAAAAGTCATTCTGACTAGAGGAAATGTATAAAAGGTTGAGTACTTTTTATTATATATATATTTTTTTTTATTTTAATATAATATATAATTATTTTAATATATTTAAATAAAATATATTTTACTTACAATTGGTGAAGCCACATGCTTTTTAATGATAATTTTGAAGGATCTGTTGGTACTGGTATTGGTATTGAATGGGGGGGACTAGTCTGGAAAGTGGACTTCATGGCCCTTTATTCCAATCCTTGACGCCTGACCCTGGTTGCCACCACGTTCTTACCAAAGCAGGAGTATCGGAGGAACGGTTTAGCCGAGCGGATTAACGCATGTACAAAACACTCTTAGTATTGATGAAAGTGTATGGAGTTTGTAAATGTTTTGTTATACTAATTTCTGGAGTTTCGACCAAGAAACAGATAAAACACGAACACTAACAAGCATTTGTACACTTTGTCATTCCGGCAAACTAAAAGTTATTATTAATATATTTATGTATTCTTAATTATAATTTTAATAACCGATTTTAGAATAATTGGATTGTATCCTTTTCACTGGAAGGAACAATTATAGAATCGCTATCGTTGGAAACTGCGTGGGTTGTCTGATCTGTTAAGTTCTTCGGGACAATGAAAAGCCTCCACGCTTCGAAGAACTGTTCGAAAAGGATTCTTCGAAAAGAAGACAGATCTATCTCATTAATGGTGAGTTGTTCTCAACAAAGGCACTTCGCTCTTCCAAGTTCTTAATTTTCGCTATATATATCATCAAGTATTTCATTTCCTCTAATCAGAATGACATTTTGTTAAAGGAAATTTCCCTTTGTTTGAATTCCATAAATTATCGGATCACAAAGATAGAAACAAAAAATAAAATAAATTGTATTCTCATCCAGAAATTAAAATATTGTCATTGTTGTAGCTTCATCCTTCAGTTCAGTTATTGAATATGACTAAAATTATTCCTTTAATTTTTTTTTAATTAAGAACTTTTTTTTAAATATAAATTCCCCTCTCCTTTGGACTAAATTTCAAATATTGAAATTAGAATTTAAAAAAATTAGAAAAGTTTTATAAAATGCCTCTTCTAATGCTAGACCATGTTTTAGAAACTTTTTTTAGGTAGCAAACTTTCGAATTGTTAAATTCTTGCAAACATATTCAAAGCCGATATATATATATATATATATATATTTTTTTTTTTTTTTTTTTTTTTTTTTTTTTTTTTTTTTTTTTTTTTTTTTTTTTTTTTTTTTTTTTTTTTTTTTACTCGCTTATAGTTTTATGATGGCATTATCGGCCTACCAGCCAAATGGATATAGAAATCTTTATTATATCGTAAATATAAGTTTTACTGGCATGCATGATTAATCCTTAATCGTTAATTAAACATGATATAACAATTTGAGGGCGGGATGGCTGGGCGGGTTAATGCGTATGGGAAACACGTGTTGCCTGGTGACCTGGTAAACCAAAATAACATAATACAACAATTACGAGTTCGCCTATCGATGATTTGAGGGAAAAGAGGTCTATTAACTCTGGCATTAATCCACCTTCCTCGTCACTGGCTCGAGGCAGAAAACTCTATATAGCCTGCAAGGCAAGGAAGAGAAGGACAAAAAAAAATACAATAAAAATTTTATAAGTTAATTTGATTTATCATATTCATTATTACTCATTTCATAATAATTATTATTATTAGATAATGTTACCATCCTCTTCTTAAATGCCCTCACATTTCATCAGATAATCATTTATACACATTTGAAGCCACATTTATCCAAATTCAATATTTAAGGGTCATTCAATATTGAATGTCTTATTGGAGTTTTGAGATATAGTATAGGACCCTTTAGAAATGTGACTAACAGAGAAGTGATTATTCTCAAACCCAAACTCAAAAGAAGAAATCAAATTATTTGCATCAATGGATTTATGACATTAAAACTTTAATTTTTGTTTATATTCTTTATTTTAATTAATTTCTTAACTGAAAATATTGGTGGAAAACTTCTATAAAGTTACGTTTGTTTTCTATCTTGGGATATTTATAACTTCTGGTATTTTACTTATTTAATTTTTCTGTTATGGACCGGTTGGACTTTAAATGTAAATAATAAGTTTCCTTGTTGATTTAAAGGTTATAGTTTTTTTTTTAGATTGAACAACAATGCTCTCAATTGACAACTGTATGAACAAAGTTCCCAAAAGAAAATTTTAAAATTCCTATCACTGTTGTTTCTATAGTGCTCTTGAGATCAGTGTGTTTCAAACCTTCCTACTAACAGTTTTGCTAAGAGTAAGTTGAACATTTATTTTTTATCTAATATTCATCGTTATATTTATAGTTGAATAAAGATTTTAGAATTTTTCTGAGGTATTTCTATTACTGGTAGTGACCCCCTGTCCATTATTACTAAAATAATTGAATTTCGGGGAGTCCATCACTATTGCAAAAAGGTGTTTTTTTAATGGAGATTACATCTGCATAAATAAAAAAAGGAGACCCCAGGGATTCTAAATATCCAACGGAGAAGTTTATATCTATAATAATTATAGCGACAAAGCCAAAATAACAAAAATTTCCTTAGCTATGCCATCATTGGTGCCCTTTCATTTTTTTAATTATTGTTTTCAAAAACATTATAAGTTCCATCATCGCCTTGAGGATACATAATTTTTAAAAAAATCTTTGGCAATGTAAGTTGACATTTATCCAAATTTTCCCTTAAAAATTAAATGGCAAATTTAATAACAGAAACAATAATAAGACTCGAACTAAATTAGGGAAATCCAAAAGCATTTTATGAATACTTTCACAACTCAACGAGCCCTAAGTCAAAGAGAAAAGACAAAACAAAAGCCGAAAAGAAATTATAAAGGCCGGTAAAAAAAGATAGCGGTGAGGTAACTAAGTTATGGAATGTGTCCTGCAGGACTCGTCCCTTTGCTGTGGGGGGGGGGGAGGGGGATGGCAGGACATTATTCTGCTCACTTCTAAATACCATCAACTCTTCCAGGACACTTTCGTCCTTTGTCCTCAACTTTTTATTTCCTTTATCTCACTGGATAGCAACAGCTTCAAATACTGCCATATTTCTCTTATGAAGAATTTTAGTGGATCAGTTTTTCACTCTGAATAATATAACGGGATATATATTGCCTGTAATTTAACTGACACTTCTGAATGTGTGTTTTTTTTAAACTTCATCTGTCAGAATGACAAAGGATTCATTCGATTATTAATGATATAATAAATTACGTATCCAATGATAAATTTGATCATCATTTGAGATAACCAAGTAGATACTCCTGGTTAAAAATTTAAATATCTTACAGCTTAAAAATTTCACAACTAGACAAATTATCAGAATCCTGTAGCTATTTATTATTCCATTTTAAAATTATTTTTTGCTTTCACACTTCTTAGCGAAGGTAGGAAGGGTTTCTATTCCCTCAGCGAGAAAAAATTTTCTTCTCATAATTGAAAATTTTTCCTTACATGATACGTTTTAAACGTAAAGATAAATTTAGTGTTAAAAAAAAAACCTACTACAGTAATTGGGAAATTCTATGCCCCCCTAACGGAATGTGCTTTCATATCTACTCATCCATCGATATCAGCGGCCACAGTTCGCATCCAAAAAGAACCATAGGTAGGGTAGTGGTTTTATACATTCGAATTTTTTTATGTGAAAACTTCTTTGGGCACGTTTTGCATTAGATTAACCGTCAGATCTCTGATGTGTAACGCTCGGGGTAAAGTTGGCTGGAGTCGATTAATTGAAGTTTTTTTGCATATGGATTAAAATATCTCAGAATCTAAAAATCGGACCTGTTTACTGTAAGCGAGGGAATTGTTCAGCATTTCATCTTCTCTGTAATTAGCTATTATTAAAAATTGTATCTTAACACGACGGCGTGTGAGAGTGACGAAGTGAGAAAAAATTGCTTCGAAAACCAAATTAGAACGAGTTTTATTGAAGGTATGGAGGAAAAAAGTAAAATCTTTATTAGTTTTAAAGGAAGACCTTATACAAATGGAGTCTATCACAATATTATCCTTAGGGAAATACAAATTCCTTTCCATACCACATAACCGATATTACAACACTCTTAAGCATAAATTAATAATCATATTCGGTAAAAATCAGATAGTTAAAATAGTTTCAATTATCAAATTAATATAAAATCCAAAATTGTCAACAATATACCTAAATAAATACACATAAAACAATAAATACACATTTTTTTAAAAAATAATAATATTAAACTATGTTTTAAAATTAAATTAAAAGATCCACCCCTATACCTAAGAGAACAAACAAGAAAATTAGCCATACAGATTAACAGATAATTTGATAGAATTGAGATATAAAAACATAATTTTCTCATATTTGCTGCACTGGTTAGCTTGAATATTTCTATTCATCAAGATTTTCCATAGCCTGATAAATTCTTAACTTTAAACTACTGTAAATTGGGTATTTACGTTTTCTTTAGTGTTGCACATTTTGCTCTCAAGTTGTGGAGTAATTTTCACAATTTTATTATTAACAGAAATCTTGATCATATATTTTCCCGAGAGTCGGATCTGCATTAATAGTTTCGTATATTTGAAATTAGTTGGTATAAACAAATACTGTTATTAAGATTGTTATTAAGAAAAAGGTTTAAATGTTCACTGTAAGATGAGCTATGCAATGTTATCCTGTCTCCGTCCTGCAAATTTTGGTTGTATTTATTTAATACTCTGTTAATATTTGTTCTAATTATGGCTGGGTTGGGTTCATAAACTAGATTTCCTTTCCAATAGTATCTAACTATAGAAGGAAATTAGTCGACTGTTCTTCATATCATGGGTGATAAATATTCAGGACGCAGTCTTTTTAAAAAAAAACAACAACTAATTTTTCGTTTATGCCAACGTTTCAACCCAAACATGTGGGTCGTCTTCAGGGCGTGGTTTGAGCACTGAGGGTGTTCAAGTACTGATTGGACATATTGGCATATTAAGAAACGTTGGCATAAATAAAAAATTAAATTAAAAAAAAAATACTGCTTCCTGAATATTTATCGCCCATGGTATTTAACTATATTTTTAGCTGAGAATACCAATTATATTTCGATAGTGCAGGATTACCTAAGTAACGATTTAATGTATTTAATTCCAAAATTTAGTATGCCAATAACATTCGCAGTCACTTTAAGCTAGGCACTTGCAGCTCATGACTTTGCACTGTAACGCAATAACTGACTCAATTGAATTGGCAGCCAATTGTTTATCGAGACATACTGCGGTTGGCTAAGACCCGCCTGGGATCTAAAGGACAAACGAAAGTGCATTTCGTAAAGCAGGAGGAGCGGTGGTGGGGACGGGGGGAGGGGCCTAAGTCATTGCGAAAGTGCAAAGTTCACAGCTCCGCGGCTCTTCCAGGCTTAATAGTACGATAATCTGATGGTCGTTTGTAGATCACGATTTAAATTTGATGTGGAAAAGAGTAATTGAACTATTTTTTTTCCTATTTATTTATTTATTGAGTATTACAACAATCTGTCACTTGCACAGGCGGATCTACGAGGGAGGGGAGGAGGGGTTGAATCACCCCCAAAATGGTACAATATAACCATGTTTTACAGAAAAAATATGATAAACTATTTCTTAAAGTATTCTTGTTCATGTAATTACATTTAATAGGACTTCAAGAACCACTTAAATACTATTTCAAATAGGTACTTAATTTGTTTCTTTTTTTTTTCAAATTAATTATCGTTATATGTATACATGAAAAGAAACTCTTTCGGGCTGAAGCTCCCTCCTCCCCCCCCACGAAAAATTAAATCCTGGATCCGCTAGTGGTCACTTGGACATTAGTTATACTGAGTTAGGATAACATTCACACTAGAAGCACAGAAAAATATAAAATAAATAGAAGCAAAAAACAATAAAAACTAATCAAAAAGTATATAGAATAAATAAAATAAAATAACACATTGATACCTATGTATATTTACAATCAGGTGAGGGAACTCCGAGAAAGGCTTGTCCCTCCAACTATGGAGGGAAAAGCAGGACTCCAGGAGAACCCTGCGCTAATCTCTCAATCGCATCACTGGTACTATAGCCAGCGGAGATTGATCGAGAGCACTATCTAAAATAACAAAAGGAATCTAAGACATTTAAGTTCATACTTATTGTCCGTTCCACTCTTAAAGTGGAATGCAATTTGTATTCTAGCCCCGTCAAATTAGCACAAAAAAAGGGTCTAGCTTGCAAAATGTTGGGTGATTCAAATTTCTTTTTTATATTTGTTTTTTTATAATTATTTCGATATTATTTTACTTTTTTTAATTTTATGTTTTCGGTATATATGGTTTCCTATGGTTCAGTTTATATAGTTCGCTTTATGTAAGGTATAGAGAAAAATGTTAAAGAAATTTAAGCTGTTCAAGATTGTATATAACTATTTTTATCCATGTTGCTCTAAACAGGAAATATTTATTGTAAACAAAAAGTTTGAAATTTTCATGGTTTTTGGAGGACTACAGCGAACCCACAAGGCATTCCAAGGCGGAAACTTGAATTTTTTTATTCACTGCTTACTTAATAATATTATTTATAAGATATTCACAATCGTATAAAAAAAATACATCTAGTAAATTCCTGCATGGATATGATAGAAACTACCCATTGGTAGCACTCTCTTAATAATAGAAAAAAGAAATTTGAATTACCCGATCTTTTGCAAGGTAACATGTCTAATTTGATTAGTCTGTTTTGTTAAGGGATTTTTTTATATTAGAATAATAAAATTATCGTTTGGGAAAAAAAATAAGTGGTAATTTTTTAGCACTATTGAATATAATACTTTTTTTGCTGTTGGTAGTAGATTTTACATCTAAAATAAGTTCATATAAACAATTTCCAGTAGAAAAGTAGGAAATTAAAGATTTATGTTTTTTTAAGCGAGTCACGTTTTTGTTGAATAGGAAGTTATAGCTTAAAAAATGTTTGAGTGAAATAACTGTTATTAAAAAATTAATTTTTTTTTACGTCTTGGTCTTGGTCTTGCAACAGTAAGACCCATCAAAGTGCAAGACCAAAACCGATTTTGGGAAATATTTGTATATATTTGTCAAATTAATAAAATTATATTTATCTATGTTATATCTGTAAAACACACCACTTTAATAAGGATATTCATTTTGTAAATGTATATAATAGAAATCATAATTTTTTGCACATGAGTAGTTAAAAAATAAACCAATGATGAATAAACATTTATAAACTCTCTGATAAACGATAAGAAAAAAATAATAAAAATAACTAAATTGACTCGATAAGTTTATTTTCAGCACTTGTTTGCAACCATCGGATGAAAATACATTCTTCAAAACTTTTGCTCTAAATCAAAACTTTCCTTCTTCGCAAACATACATTTTCAACGCCTGTTGAATTTCCCACTTTCAAAGATGTGAAAATTTGGAAGAAAAAAAAAAGGAAAAGAAAATACGAAGAAGCAAACTCAGAGGCGTGTGAGATATTGGAAAAGTATTTTCCTTACCAAAATATCTTCTCCAGTGGGTAGGAAGGAATTCTGTTTCAAAAGGGGCTTTAGAAGGATTTCCACCAGTTTTTCTTTTAGAAGGAAGTGTATTCTCTTACTCATATATAAATAGATACAATAAATAATAATAAATAAAATAATTATCAATTATATAGAAAAGTTCAAAATATTTTACAGTTTATTACTAGATTTTTTTTCTTAGAATGAAATGTTTTCAGCAAGATTTCGACAAGATGGAAAACGTCATCGGTCGGTGAATTCAATAAACATGTTAGATAGTAAAATATTATTTTTTACTAATACTTTTAACATACCCAGGTATGAAATATATAATTTTTTTATGGAGAAATATTATATAACCACATTCACACCGAATATATAAAGAAACATAGATAAAGTAATAAAAAAATAATACATAAAATTAGAACAAAATAAAATATTATAAGGAAAGTGAAAAAAAATGTAAATGAGTAAGTACAAATAAAATAAAGGTATAATAAAATGTACTTAAAATAAAATAAACATCTTACACACAGACATAGCTATATACACTATTTACAATCAGCTAGGGAAACCTCGAACCAATCTTGTCCTCCCACATGTCGAGGAAAAAGCGAGGCTTAGGAGATCGGAATATATACCAAGGGAAAGTATTGCGATCGTGAAAAACTTCTGAACTGAATGTTCAATGGAAAAAAAAAAGAAAGAAAAGTTATTCCAATAAATAAAAAAATCCGTTTCATAAAAGTGTCTGTTTGTGAACGGCCTAATTCGAAAACGAGAAGTTGCAGGAAACTGAAATTACATACTTCAGTTAGGTATTATGTTTTAGCAACTTTTTCATCTAAACCGATTATCCGGAAAAAGTATTATATCTATGAATGAATCTGATTATTAATCAACAGAGAAAATGGATGAGGTACTGAAAAAGTTACAAAAAAATTAATATTTTTTTTATTAATATTTTTTTTTTTTATATTTTGGAATTCCGGAAATTGAGAATGTAGAAGTTCCATATACAAATAACTTCTTTTTTTTCAATTTTGCTCTTCTACATATTCGATAAGCCGAATTGCGTGAACTGTATCCGGTTAATATAATTGCGGTAATTTCATCGCGGCGAATCAAATGGGCTTGTAAAGTTGTTGGGCTTAGTAACGAGAGAATTCCTAAAATGCTAATATTTGCTGTGCCGAATGGTAAGCGTCCGAGGGGTAGACCGAAGCGAAGGTGGGAGGATTGCATTAAAGCCGATCTGAAGGGCCTGGGTTTGGACGGCGAAAGGCGGAGGGAGGTGTGTGGTAGGCGATTGGTGGTGTCGGCATCGAAGCTTCGGGTTCGCTAAGCCTTTTATTATTATTATTATTATTATTACATATTCGATAAACAATTCGTTTATCATCTTGAACATATATCTTTTGCAAGTGTTTACATTTGTTACGTTATTGGTTAAAATGTTTTTTCTATCTTTCTATTTCTCATAATATCCATAACACAGGTGTGAAACCTACGCCCATTGTTAGTTTTTGCGCGATGTTCATTTGTTTATCCTAGCATTGAATAATATTTAACTACAACTAGTTAAATTCGCATACAATTTTGTTTAGTGAAGAAATAGCAAAACAATATGAAAATAAGTAGATACTAAGTATTATGTCAGCAATGAATTAATATTTTTTCCTTGGTCGATTACAATATTCCATTAAATATAATAGCCCAAAATATATGTACGAATTGCTTTGCTAATTTTTAAAAGCTGATTGGAAAAATAATAAAAGTAATCAAGACAAAATAATACCCCGATCATGGGATTTTCTAAATTATTAAAAAAAAATAACATGTAAAATAAAAACAACCAAATGTATTCAAGAAATAATAAAGTCAAATATATCAGCCAGGAAAAAAAGTTCCTGGAAATTCTACGATATCTTTCTTAATAATTGTCCGATTTTTACTTTTCCTTCATGGCTTTTTACCGGAATTGAGGATAGGACTATTTTTCGCATGTGAAGGAGATGAAGATCTTCAAAATGAGTGGTCAATCATTGGATTTAATGAAGAATTGAAGAAGTTATGCCTTACTGACAAAAAAAAAAAACAACTTTTAGAAATGATATATAGGATTATATAGGTTACAAACATTTGATAATTATTAAAATAAGTTGACAATATGTTTATAGGAATGTGATTTCGTATTTAATTATAAATAACAATAGGGACAGTGATATATAAAAAAATATTGCGGCCTCCAAACGTCTTTGCACGGGGTTTATTAATGTAGTGCAAGAATTAATTGATATTTAATTATTTAGGTTACGAAAATTTCAAAATTAATGCAATTAAGATGAATAAGATGTATAGGTGTATTTAGTAATAAATAAAAACAGCAGCATTAAAATATAAAAAATCATTGCTGCCCACATTAGCACTGTCTAATTTTACTGCGGCATTCAATGATAAAAAAGTTCACCGTCATCTAGGATACTCCTCGGAATTACTAAAATCTTTTTAACTTATTTCTTGTCTCATTCTTTATTTCACAAGTATTTTTTTCGTATCTCATCGTAACCTTATTTTATCTACGAAAATTCTCAAAAGTGGTGGATATACTCATTAAATTAATTAGGTACTAACAACTCATTTGTTTTTCACTTCAATCGTGAATATGACTACTTTTTTTTTTTGTCTTCAATTCTTTATCTGCACCTGTCATGGTAGTGAAAATCAGCAGATTTGTTGGTAGGTATAAAATGGCATGATAGGCATGACGAAGAATAGTACCCAGCAGCACCTCTGGTCTGTTTACATCCTAAAATTAGGAAAGGAGATCTCTCATCCAGCTCCTTTTTCAGTCGCCTCCTGATGACCATGTCAGCCGTGGTCATGTCGTTGCTAAGTCCATTGTGATGTCCGTATAGTTTAAGATGAAATCGGGAGTAAAGAGTACGTATGTGCTGGTCACTGGTTGGTTATCTTAGATCGTTAAGTCTTGTTGTTGACGTACCAGAGAGCTGCAGTTATTATTCTCAAAATTTTAGATCGGAAAGATTGTAGTTTTTGTAAGTGATTCTTTTTAGCTGAACCGTAAATATGTGAGGCGTATGTACAAATGGGTTTGAGCAGGTAAGTGTATATATTTAGATTTTGTCTAATTTTCAATTTTGATTTAGAAAAGAGTGAGTATAGTATTTTAAGTCGCTCGTTCCAAGTCTTTTTTTTCATTTTGACGTGTGGGTTACTAAATATGAAAATAAAAGGTAGCATACAAAAATATTGGGTCGTTTAGCCTATATAATCTCGTTATTTTGACATGTTGGTAGGTCACTCCAAATGGCTCAATATTTTTGAAGCCCACATTTTTTTCTCAATTTTGTGCTCATGTTATTTTACGATTCAATTGAAATAAAAATGAGTGTTCATGATCTTTTAGAACCTAAATAAATAAACAAAGTTTACCGACCTCCAGATTGAAAATGTCCCAATACCGAGAATTTTTGTAAATAAATAAAGTAAGTTACGATGAGATGATTCACGAAGTTTTAGATGGTTGCTAACAATTTTATAAATACTGGTCCGTACCACAGACTATTATTAACCAAGACTATTATTTATATACTTTTTTCGCTGACAATTTTATACATGTAGGTATATTGTTCTCCTGAAATATATATAACAAAGAATAAATAAAATTGGATCGATTTTCAAGTGGAAATGAGATAATTCGCAATGTTCGGAAGAAGCGAAGAGACTACGAGAGGCAGGCCGGATCGACATCATCACGTGCCACCTTTATTGCCGGACTTAAAGTGCCGGATTAGGGCAGATATGGAGCGGCAATGGCCCAGTCCGGATAAGGCCGGATTTCTAATAAGTGGCTGAGCGAGGTAGGATATTGTATTTCTGATCAGCTTGTAATAACGTTTAAGTTGCGTACGGAGTTTGTTCGGATAACGCAGGCCTGTTCAAATATGAATTTTTTTGCTACCTTACTCTCAAAGGTAGGGAAGATTTTTATTCTAGTTGTAAATGAAAGAAAATCTGCTCAGAATCTAAATTTGTCATTTGAGTTTCTACTATGACAAAAAAAAAAAAAAAAAAAAAAAAAAAGATCGATAAAAAGGTAATAAAATAAGTTTTAGTAAATATAATTTTCTATCGGAATTTTTACCTGGCTTTACTAGCCTTTCATCTCTAAAGAGATAAATCTAGAAAATATAAGGCACTTACCCATTATTTGGCCATCATTAAATATTTATTCTACCATGCTAGCTCAGGTGAGAAGGGGCTAGATTGTATATTTTATAAAGCAGCAAAAAAAGGTTAACAGATCTATTTACAGAATTAATACTATGTACAAGCAAAAGAAATAAAATAAAATGAAAAAAGTGAATTTAAACATAATATAGAATAGAATAGAATAGAAAAAAAAAATTATTCTGGGACGAGGTCCCTTCAGAATAACAAAAAATTACAAATTAAAATTTTACATCTGGCCAGATAAAAACAAACATAACAAATTAAGATTAAGATAGGTCATTAAAAAACAGAAAAGAAAAAAATATTGGGTATACATACTATATACAAAATAAAATAAAAAAAATCTATATAAAAAACTCTTGAAACCATACTAAGATACTTAAAACTATGTACAATGTTAAAATATAAATAAACCCTTTTAGAAAAAATAAAAAATACAGAAAAAATAAATGTATATTCTTCTTAACAGTAAAATCTGTTTCTGTTGAAAAAAAAGAAAGTCGAATCTATAATAAGTATTTAGGTATGAGCTGTATGTGAATATGGTCTTATAGATAATATGTAATTTTACATAAAAGGTTAGCTGGTGCCTGACTGTTTTTGGGACAGGAATTGGAATAGGAGGGTTTTGAATGTAGATAAGGATGAAGAATGTCGAATTTTGATAGGAAGGGAATCCCAGAAATAGAACGTGCAATAAAGGAGTTTTGGAACGAGAGAGATCTGTGAGAAGGAATGTAAAGGTCGGAAGGTCGAGATCTTGTAGAGAGGGAGTGGACTGAGGACTTGAATTGGAGAAGTTTGTAGGCGTAGGAAGGACGATGATTGTTGATGATATGATAGAGGATATACACACAATTAATAAACAATAATATACAATTAAAGATAAATAGAAACATACTTAAGATAATAAAAATAACAAAAAAGATACTTATATCATATGCAATAGTATGTTATGTAATAAATATTCTGTTTGTGATAAATATGGAAATAGCAGAGGAGAATAAAGTAGGGAATTATATACTCATATGTAAAAAAAAAAAACAATTTTCACATACGACCTTTTGCACTAACTGTAGTGTTATAACGTTACTTGATGGAAACCTGGCCTTCTATCAATAAAAGGTACGAAACATAAAAGCTGGCAAAAAGGTTATTACTCATTCTCTAACACACTGAAGGGCTTGGTACCCAATTTATTAAAGATAATTATGCTCTAATATCTTGAGTCGATACACGGCTGATGTAAAATAAATAATCACCACGGCTCGGCTATAAAGAGCTATGATATTCCTTTTATATCCAATATTTTTTTTAATGGAATGTTTTATATAAAATAAAATATGTACGTCAACAGGTTCAGCTGGGGCTATCGCCGTTGACAGCTGACTTGTGACCAATCAGAAGACTTATCAGTTCACGACGACAGAGTCACGGCGATGTTTCGTGATATTCGGTTGGTCGCTGGTTCGACGCGTCCATTTGCCGCTCGTTTATTTGCCCGTTTTCGTCCATTCCCCCTAATGTTTCGATAAGAATCCATTTTCTCACCGCCGATATCTTACTCCCAATTGGAATCTATTTCCCATGTCTGCTTGAGGACAGTGGGTAGGTTCGACAAACAAAAAGTTCAAACACAAAAAAAAGGCTTATTCAACGATTAGAATATAAAAAAAAATTAAATATTTAATAGCTGACCGTTGCATTATAAAGGAAGGAGATGGTCCGGGGTGGCGGTCATAAACAGGCTATAAGTGATAAAACTATTTTATTAAAAGCCAACGTTTCGACCCGACTTTGCAGGTCTTCTTCGGGGCTAGAACGGACAAGATACAAAAAGAAAGAGAATTGTGGAAGTTACATAATATTATGACAACATATTATAAACAATGTGATTAAGCTTATTAAAATTATAAACAGTAAGTACATTAAAATATAAACAGAGCTAGATTAAGCTAAGTAACAAGATCTTAAACTGAAGTAAATCGATGGTAATAATTGTAGTGTAATATATAATATATGCAAATTTTTTTCACATTACCCAAACAGGTCAGGAAATTTCCCCAATACCTACCCTTACCCTGATTTTCCTGTTTTAAGTGAAACTCCTAGCTGAACACACCTGTAAGTCTCTATTTTTATTCTTGTAATTTCATTTACTTATTTATTCATTTCTTGGTTTTCTTTTCCTTTTCTTTTTCTACATTCCATTAGGTATATTATTTCATATTATATCCTTTTTCCTTTTCATTCAATCTCACCTGTAGATATGTAGAAGTATATTCACATTTGCATAATTATATATTACACTACAACAACTATAGTGTATTTACTTCAGTTTAGGATCTTGTTACTTAGCTATTCTGTTTATATTTCAATGTACTTACTATTTATAATTTTAATAAGCTTATTCACGTTGTTTATATATTTTTTTTTTTAATATTATGTAACTTCCACAATTCTCTATATCTTTTTGTATCTTGTCCGTTCTAACCCCGAAGAAGACCTGCAAAATCGGGTCGAAACGTTGGGTTTTAATAAAATTGTTTTGCCACTATTAGGCTCGTGAAATAAATAATATATGCTAATGTGAATATACTTTTACAGATCTACAGGAGAGATTGGAAGAAAAGGAAGAAGGATATAATATGAAATAATAGACATAAAGGAATGTGGACAAACTGAAAAAATAAATAAATAAGTAAATAAAATTAGAAGAATAAAATTAGAGACTTACAGGTGTGTTCAGCTAGGAGTTTCACTTAGAGCTGGAAAATTAGGGTAGGGCAGGTATTGGGGAATTTGCTGACTTGTTTGTGTAATCGGGAAAAACCTAGATAATTATAGTATTTAAAATTTGAAGATAAAAAAAATCACTTTGATAAACTTTTCTTACACAAACACACAAACTTCATATATGTATGTAACAATTTTTTAATTTGCTGTGTCCACAAAGGGAGAGTTTCGGGTTGAAGTCCCACCCCAGAATAGAATTTTTTTTTTATTATAGAAACTTATTTGTTTCTCCGATTTATTCTTAAACAATCAATTATGAAACAATAACTTTTAATCAATACTATAAATTGTTAACATTTTTTTTACCTCTAAAGGATGAACTGTGGTGTGCAGATAAAACTAGAGCGATAAATTAAATAGGTAAACAAATTTGCGGTTGGAAAAATTATTGACGCTGGCTGAGCCCACTCCACAGCCTGCCTTAGTGATTAGGGATAATGCTCCCTTCGCCGCAGCCTTTTCTATCTTTAACAATACCACCTTTTCAAGTTAATATATTTAAAAGAGTATATTATTCTTATATTTAAGAATGTCATTTTATTATTAATATAGGTATGTACAGGGTGTCCTGTAAGTAGATGAAAATATTTATTGGTGTGTTAGAAGACTTAAAGAGCTACAAAATAGTTCATATTTTTTAGCAGAAAATAAGTCATGTTTTTGTGACGATTATGATGATAACTAAAGAAATAGTCTACTTAAATAATTAACAGTTGCTTCACTGTAGAATAGACAAAATTTATTTATTTTTTAAATAATAAAGTTAGCCATTGTTAAAATTATTTTAAAAGAAATTTTTTTTATCATATTCCAACTACACTTCAGATAAACCACCAAGCTGTTTCAACAATTTATTGTAGTCATTTTTGATGAAAACAAGGGTAATTTTACTTGAGAGGATAAACAAACTCCTTGTTTTTTTTACACAACTTCAGGTGAATATTAACATTTTTTTCCAATAAACCTCAATTTAATAAATTGAAACTTAAAGCTTATTTAACGAAGAAAGCTGTTAAAAAAAAACTCGGGTTTCTGTATTATAGTGGAATGATTAAAAAAAAAATAGCGAATAATTTGTATAAAAAAAAACAACAGAATTTATCTTTGTCTAGCCGTTCAAAAATCCTCTTTAAATAGTTTTAACAATGACAAACTCATTATTCTTTTAAAGTAAATTTTGTCTAATTTACTTTGAGGCAATTTTTAATCACTTAAATTAAACATTTCGTTAGATATAGCTTACTATTCAACAAAACTCACGAATTACTTAAAAAATCACAATACTTGAATTTTTTACTTTTCTGCTTAAAATTGACCTAATGTTTATATAAACTTTTATGTAGCTTTTTGTGTTAGCTATTATTCTTATAAAAATTTCCCTCTATTTACAAAACATCTTGTATAATTAAAAATGTATCTTCCATGGTAATATTTATTCAATTATTTCAGTCTAACGTTTCGGGTACTCACCCATCATCAAGAACAATTTAATCTGTGAGAGACGACATATCAGTTATTAACAATTATTTTAATCGGTTATCAAGACTATATAAAATTCTAAATATTTTCATACACACAAAGAACAGAAAAATATAAGAAGCAATATATATTACTAAAAATATAAGAAATGCAACGAATTTCAAATTAGATACAAAAAGCAAAAACAATCACTACGCACATATCATTAATAATTTTTTAAAAATCATAAAAACAGTAAATCAGGTAGCATCGTAAAGCAGATGATATTAGGATAAAATCCAACGTAGAATCCCCAGTAAATGTGACAGTGGAAAACATTTGTCTTAGGAAGAAAAGTATTTTAATTTAAACTCAATTGTTAAACTAATGACAAATGTTTTTAACATGCATTGTAAGACAATAAGATAGAAGAAATACCAACTATCGAGTAAATTAAAATGTTTTATAATGGACTACTTTTCAATAAATATAATCTTGATAGCACATTGAAATCATGTTCCACAGACGGATCTACGGTAAGGGGGCTTTCGGGCTGAAGCCTCCCTCCCTTCCCAAAAATGGTAAATATAACCATGTTTTATAGAAAAATATATTAAAAACTATCTCTTAAAGTATTATTGTTCATGTAATTTAATAGGACTTCGAGAACACCATGCCATATAGGTAGTTAGTTTATTTCTTTCTTTTTTTTTCAAATTAATTATCATACCAGACTGAAACGACAAGAAACCGCTCGGCGTTTCCGATTACTTCAACACTTCAATTAATTACAAAAGACTCATCTACATGACTATAATAAGGCCTATTTGGACTTACGGAGTTGAGCTATGGGGCTCCACTTAACCATCGAATTCCTATCGTATCCAATCCTTACAATATAAAATCCTTCGTAAAATCCTCAATGCTCCCTACTTTGTTACAAATTAAACAATCCAGATACCTATCCTTTCCTAATAAACTTCAGAATCATCTCAACCCTTTTTTTAAACCTCCGAGGCGTCTGAAAAGAAGATGGCCCCGTGATCTTCTAATGCAGACATATCATTAGAATGCTACCATTGGGTAGGTACTCAGCAAGTGTTTTCAAGTCATTATATCATATCATACATATATTAAAAATGTTCAAATTTACTAAAAAAATTTCTTTAATACAGTTGTAAATATCATTAAGAAATAATAAAAAAAAAATTACCATCGCTATATATATGAAAAAAAAATTTCGGGCCGAAGCCTTCCCCCCCAAAATTAAATCCTGTATCCACTAGTGATGTTATATATAACATATTAAATTTGTTGATGATGTATGAGTAACCCAAATCTTGTATTGCAAAATTATCCTCGTTTCTTATCAACAAAACTTGCTGGAGGCGAGAAGCTTGACAACCCGTAGTCTATTATCTCTTCCAGTCGAATGGATTCACTGAAGAGTCAAGAAGTACTAATTCCAAATTTATAGAGCTATCGTAAACTGTTAACCTAAGGGTACCTTCCATTTACTATTCACTGATTTGTAAAGTTCAGACTATTTTTACTTTCGCATAGCTTTCTATGAAATATATACGAATAAAAAGTATGACAATTACGTTAAATTCTGAATCATAATTTTCAATGGAAATGTAGGGTTTAAAGTCTCCTCATAGCCCAGTAAATTCAGGGCTGATATCAAGAAAATTCATTATTGGCTGTAAATGTGAGAATTAGTTGTTCATCGAATGCAGAACAAACCATGAAAAGTCCCTTCATTTTCAAGGTCCGCTTCTATCGAAATGGAGGGTTAGAGATGACCATCTAGAACGTTCTGTCTTATGTTATGTTTTTCCTCATATCTCCTTCAAAAACAAAAAATCTTGAATTCTGCAAGTACTAATATAATTGGAACGGATACTCGTTTTGGATTCTATCGAAGTTAACCTGATAAAAAAAAATGATAAATGAGTTGTAAATCAATTTTTTTGGAGTCAAAAAAAGCGGAATTTTCCTGATTCTAATGCTATCACTTCTTATAACTTTAAAAATATTGGCAAATAGAAAATAATGTTTCGTAATCCTAAGCAACAGGAATGTTCGAAAAAATGTTTTTTTAATATTTGCTGAATTTTCATTATTTTAATTGTACTTATTATTTGTTAACTCTAAGCTTTAAGCTTTAGCTCGGCTAAAAATGCAATTTAAAAATTTTATAAAAGTCCAACATGGTCGGAAAATAATTTATTTTTAAAGTTGTGTGTTTCGCGCACAAG